ATATCTACTCTATATATATTGTAATCGTATTCTCATATTATAATAATACACACAATATTACAATCTGATTATCTTGGTATCAGAGCACAATTGTCGCTAAACCTAGCTGCCGCTAAACCTTCTCTGATATTCATCTTCTTTCTTTCTTGCTAACAATGGCGTTAATTGCTGCTTTCACAACTGCTGAGAAAACCTCTCATAATTCCCATAAGTTCGGTTTTACTCTCTCTCCAACAAACTATGGATTTTGGAAAACAATGATTCATCATTTTCTTATCACAAACAACCTAATTGGTTATGTTGATGGTACCGTCCCTTGCCCATCACCACTGATTGAACAAGCAACATCATCAGACAAAGATGCCCCCAAACAATCCCAGCCAAACCCGAACTATGCGATATGGGTCGCCAATGATGCTCACGTAAGAATGCTGATCATCTCTACAATCTCAGAGGCTGCTTTTCCTCATGTTCAAGGTACTACTACATCTCGTGACGTTTGGTTATCCTTAGAGCGTGCATACGCTCCACATACATCTTCTAGGGAATATACCCTAAAAACACAATTACTAAAGATTCAGATGAAGGGAGACGAAACATCCTCTGCATATCTCAATCGGGCAAAAGAGTACGTTGATGCTTTGGCTAATATTGGCGAATCTTTTAAAGAAAAAGATCTTGTCATGCTTGTGATTGCAGGTCTTCGTGATGACTATAATGGTTTGAAATCTACTCTCCTTGCTCGACAGGTTCCCACAGCCTTCAACGAGTTGCATGGACTTCTTTCAGATCATGATTACATGATAAAACAATCAGCTCCTGTTATCCCAACACCACAGGTTTTTCATGCTGCTGCCACAGGAACATTTCATCAGCCACTGCCCTCACAACAGGATTCCATGCAAGCTCTCAATCAGCTTGCTTCACAACTTGGTTTCAACCTACAACCAATTACCCAACAGTCACAAGCATTCTTTACCTCTTCATCTCAGCATAATCGTGGTCGTGGTCGCACCACAAACAACCGTGGACGTGGTCGTGGTCCAAACAATCGAAGCAATAGAGGACAGTTCAATTGGGCATCTAATCGGAATACGGTTTATGGAACATGCAACCGGTGTGGTATTGGCCATATTCCATCCGATTGCCCCAACCGTGACCCTACCACTTTTCGCACCAGGCAACAATCTTCAGCCAATCATGCTGACTACCGTTCACAAGCTCCTTCATGGCTTCTTGACACAGGCTCAAACAGTCATGTAGCTCCAGATTCTTCCAGCATCGGCACCGCTGAACCATATTATGGTGAGGACTCTGTTCATGTTGGCAATGGTAAGGGTTTACCTATCTTACATATTGGTTCATCTCAGTTTTACTCTCCAAATAAAACTTTTTCCTTAACCAATATCCTTCATGTTCCACAAATCAAACGACACCTTCTTTCTGTTCAACAATTTTGTCATGATAACAATGTTTTCTTTGAATTTCATGATACCTTTTATGCGGTGAAGGACGAGATTTCACGCACTACCCTCCTCACGGGTCCAAGTGAACATGGGCTCTACTCGTTTCATCTTCTGTCTTTTCATCCGGTCTCTAGAAGTGTCTTCACAGCTGTTCGTGCTCATGTCCATACATGGCATCAACGGCTTGGTCATCCGCATTCACAACTTTTACATTCTATGTTATCAACATACTCTATTCCTGTTTTACATAAAACTTCAACTATTCCTTGTAATGCTTGTCATATAGGGAAATCATCCAAACTATCATTGCCATTATCTACCTTTAAGAGCTCTCGTATTTTAGATTTGGTGTTTTGTGATGTTTGGGGCCTGCTCCTGTTACTTCTTCTGATGGACACAATTATTTCTTATTGTGTGTTGATCATTTTACTCGTTATATGTGGATATTTCCTCTAAAACAGAAATCTGATGTTTATGCCACTTTTAAGAACTTTCTTGCTATGGTTGAACGACAGTTTAACACCAAACTCAAATCTGTGCAAACAGATTGGGGTGGAGAATTCCGAAATCTCTCCAACTTTTTTCTCCACTTGGCATCATTCATCGTCGCTCATGTCCACACACAAGTGAGCAAAATGGTTTTGTGGAACGCCGCCATAGACATGTGGTGGAAACAGGGCTCACTTTACTCGCTCAATCTGGCGTGCCATCTCGTTTTTTGGCATTTTGCTTATGACACGGCTGTTTATCTAATCAATCGCATGCCGTCTCGTACTTCGTCAAATGTTTCTCCTCTTGAGCACGCTTTTTCTCACAAACCAGATTTCTCCTTTTTACGTGTTTTTGGCTGTGTGTGTTATCCTCACCTTCGTCCATACAATAAACACAAAATGGATTTTCGGTCTCTTTCATGTGTTTTTCTTGGGTACAGTCCTACTCATCATGGTTACAGGTGCCTTGACCCACAAACTGATCGCATCTACATAGCCCGTCATGTTCGGTTTGATGAGCAACATTTTCCCTTCTTACAAACCTCACCCATACCACCTTCCCCTTCTCCTTCAAATCTGTATGTCTCTAGTTACCCTACACCCGTTCCATCACCTGATACTACTTTACCTATCACCATTCCATCTGATACACCCGTTACATCACCCGACTCTACCATACCTACTACCACTCCTACTGAAGACTCTCCGTCCAGTCCCTCTTCCTCCTCACCGAACCAGCCTACTGCTCCCATTAGCGAGCCGACTGCTACTGTGCACACCGATCAACCCCAAACTCGTGCACAACCAGCCAATCTTCGTCAGAATCCCAAACCACGGGTTCCCTTTAACCCTTACGCATATACTACCAACACCCACTCCTCTGATAGTGAGCCCACAACCTTTGCCAGTGCCAACAAATCCCCTCAATGGCGGGCTGCTATGGCCGAAGAATACGCAGCCCTAATGCGCAATGCCACATGGTCTCTTGTTCCACCTATTCCTAATGCAAATGTGGTTGACTGTAAATGGGTGTACAAACTTAAACGAGATCAAACAGGCAAAGTCACTCGTTACAAAGCACGACTTGTCGCAAAGGGGTTTAAGCAACAACAGGGCATTGACTATTTTGAAACATTTAGCCCCGTTGTGAAAGCTACTACTATTCGTACAGTTCTTTCTCTTGCCATTACAAAAAGATGGACACTTAGACAGTTGGATGTTCAAAATGCATTCTTGCATGGAGAACTCAATGAGACAGTGTACTTACGCCAGCCACCAGGGTTCATTGATTCAACGAAACCTGATCACCTCTGTTTACTTCACAAATCCTTATATGGGCTAAAGCAGGCACCCCGTGCATGGTTTCATCGGTTAACCAAGGCTTTGCATAACCTTGGGTTTCAAGGATCCAAAACCGACCCTTCACTCTTTATTTATTCCTCTAAAGGCACGCTTTTATATATGCTGGTATATGTTGATGATATCATTCTTACAGGTAACAATTCTATTGCCATTGATAAGATCATTAACAATCTTAGTCAAATTTTTGCCATTCAAGATTTGGGTTCGCTTTCATATTTTTTGGGCATTGAGGTAGTTCGAAAGAACTCGGACGTGATTTTATCTCAAAAAAAATATATCCTGGATCTACTTCAACGGGCAAATCTCTCACATGCAAAACCGGTACCATCTCCGATTACTACAACTGCAAATTTATATCTTGGAGACAGTCCCTTGTTTGACAATCCGGTTCAATATCGCCAAGTTGTTGGTGCCCTTCAATATGTCACCTTATCACGTCCAGACATTACCTATGCTGTAAATAAAGTTTGTCAGTTCATGCATTCACCGACTGAAAATCAATGGTCCGCTGTGAAAAGAATTCTACGATATCTTCATGGGACATCTGATTATGGGCTTCTCATCAAACATGACTCGGGGTCTCTTCTTCATGCCTATACTGACGCCTATGCCTCATCTTTGCGTGCTTTCTCGAATGCAGACTGGGCTGGTAGTCTCGATGACCGTCGATCCACCGGGGGATATGCCATTTCTCTTGGAAACAATCTTATCTCGTGGTCAGCTCGAAAACAACGAACTGTATCTCAGTCATCAACGGAATCCGAGTACAAAGCTCTAGCTGACACTGTTGCTGAACTCACGTGGGTTGAAGCTCTTCTTAGAGAGCTAAAGGTTCCAATGGCATCAGTCCCGATTTTATGGTGTGACAACTTGGGTGCCACATACTTATCAGCTAATCCTGTCTTTCATGCCCGTACAAAACATGTTGAGGTTGATTTCCACTTTGTCAGAGAAAAAGTTGCTAGAGGGAAACTCTCTGTTCAGTTTATTTCCACTCATGATCAGATTGCAGACATTTTTACAAAGCCTTTATCTTCTCAACGATTTGCTGATTTACAGTCCAAGCTGCAGGTCGTTACCCGGCCTTAGCTTGCGGGGGAATATTAAACAGTTTGTAATATAGCTAAGTAGTAGAAGGGTACAAAGTGTAAATATCTACTCTATATATATTGTAATCGTATTCTCATATTATAATAATGCACACAATATTACAATCTGATTATCTGTAGAACAATATTTTAGATGCTATAATCGGTAGTTGATAGATTCAGTTGTGCTTTACATTTATGATTTATCTAGACAAACAGTTAGCTTATCACCATGCAGCTCAAATCTGTACACAGCTGATAAACATCACATCACAACACAACACAACACAACACAACACAACACTACACTACACTGGCCTAATCAATTTCAGAAATGTATACATTTTAGTACATAGTAAACCGCACCTCTATACTTGTAATTATTACAACTTTACACCTTTAATCAACACAACATCGCCATAAAACCACTACATGGTAAATTAATTTCCAATATCTTGGAGTTATTCAACACAATGCATCATACCAATCAAAGTATCTTTTCATGCATCAATCATATCATATCTCTAATCAAGGCATGATGCACTTGCTTGGTAGTTGATATGAAATTCCACTGATATCTGCCTTTTTATTTTTTAACATGTTTTGGAGTTCAACTGTAACCTGACATACATTTTCATATTTATTCACATGCATTAATCATAATAACTGTATAATCAATCAAAGTAAAGTCATATTCATACCCTAGTTTCATGGTTTCTGTTGGCAAGTAGTTCTTCTGTGGCTGTGGTTGGCTTAGCTGGAGACTTATGTGTGCATGTAACTCATTATTATTGCAATGCAACTGATAAGCCTGAGAGGTGAAGATCATCTATATATCTTCAGTGGGGTAATAATAATGCAATTATTAATTATAAGTGGAAAGATTGTCTAGATCAGTACCTTCTCCTTCAGTTCTGCATGTTCTTGAATCAGGAGGTTTAGTTTCTTGTGCAATTCTTTATTTTCATGAGCAACAAGACTCCCCTAAAACAATATCAATCAGAAGTCAGAACCTGTTTCATGCATAATCTAAGGAAATTAAGAATCATTGTTTGTTTTTACTATACACCTTGTGGTGTAATTCTTTTACTTCATTTGTTAAACCTTGTTCCTGTAGCAAGAAATAAATGTTGTTAGCATTCATTTTACTATACACACAGTGATACTTATGTTTGATTATGAAATAAAATTCTCCATTTTAGCAACAATTGAATTGATGTTTTTGTGTGGATAACAATAACATGAGAATCCCTACCTTCTTTATTCTGACACCTTTTAGACTCGTTTCCAGCTGAGTTTCCAGATTCTGGAGCTCATTGACATTCAAACCAAAAAGTTCTTCTCCCAACAGCTGCCTGCAAGAATGGTGTCATTGGATAAGAAATATTAGCAAATTTCAAGATTTATCATATGATTTTATATTGTTTTAGGAACACAAAAGAAAGATTAGGAACTTTTTTTAACCTGTGGCTTTGTTGCAAATATTGAAGTTGTTGCCTCAGTTGAACTGCTTCTCCTTGCCAAAACTATTGAATGAGAAAAAGAAATGCTCAAGTATAATAATATATATGAACAATCATCTCTATGTAACAGTGCATGAAAAGTGAATATATCTTCTTTAGTTTATGAATGCATGTAATATAAAGGCTATTTATCTGCTTGTCACAAAATTGGATACATGTGTTTTGGATAAAGATTCAAAATATAACTGCATGTATTAAAATAGGTCTTATTAGTGGCGAGCTAGTTGGGTAGTGTGGTAGATCAACGGGTCAAGGGGTGTGTCTCTTGATGTTTCAACTTTGACAATTCTTATTTTTTATTTTTTGCATTATAAAAAGTTTGCTTGTCTTTTATTTTTTGATTAAGTTTAGTGAAATAAACACATAAGACTTGTATTTAGCTCCCCCGTTTTCAATTTTCATGGTGCAAATTCTTCATCTCAACTTTCAGAGGCCAAAATTATCATATTGTAGTCTCAAAATGAAAACTTTTATTAAGTTTTAAGAATTATGGGGCTTAATGAATGATGGATATATTAAAACCAAAGGAAATGAGGTCAGGGAGCTGATGCTCAGTTGAAGGACAATCAAAAGAAGGACACAAAAGGAATTTTCTTCATCCAACAAACAATGAACGATGAAAATTTTCCACAACATGATCTTGACACACTATCTATGAAAGGTAAGGAACAATTGCTAGTGTCTCTATATAGGGTGTTTACAATAGTGTTGTAGATCAATGACTATGTTTATGTCTCTTAATGTTTAAACCCAGGCAGCTTTTCTTTCTTCCTTCTTTCTTCTTTTTTCTTTTTATATAAATTTCTTTTTGTGGTGAGAGTTTTTTAATTGCATTGGATTTCAAGTACCATGTTTAGTTTTCTAAATCTTTCAAGTATGCAAACCACTTATGAGTATCTGATCCTTTTATTTTTAGGCACAATCACCGAAGGTGAGCTGTTCTGGTGTTAAAACTGAACTATTTAGTGCTGAATGATTCCAAACTCTTAATTGATAAGACTTAAGAGGATGTAGGACTCTTTCAGCGTTCAGAGGCTGTATCAAACATGCTGAATGATGACCGGTTCAGAGGTGACCTCTCAGATCAAACAACCCCTAAGGTCAATAATCAATTTTCTCCCCAAAGTGAATATTGATAGTGAGGTCCTTTTGCCCTACCATAACTTCCATGATGCATATATCCAAAACGCGATTAAATTGGAGTTTAATCTTTACCATTTTTGTGTGTAGGCTCTCCTGTACCCTGTAAAGTTTACACCAAAAGTTCCTTCATCTGTTATTTGGTATTTGGTATTTGTTTCTACAAAACAAACGAACTATCTTTCAATGGGATTGTTCTGAGCCTCGAAAGTTGAACAGCACTCTAACATCTGCTTAGCCTTAACTGTCTGTTCCTCTTCAATTTCTGCAAATGTAAACATAAAGGTATCAGCTTAGCTTTAACTGCTGCAAACTCAAACTGTGATCAACAAAATAGTAGCCTTTCAGCTTCTCTTCTTTTGCTTTTCAAAACCCACCAATCCATCCTTCCATAATTTTACCTAAACAATCTTACTGAAAATCATGAAGGCCAATATAAGAGGGCATGATGATCTACTCCTTGATTTTCCAGATTTTCAACTCACAGCATTTAAGTGGCCTTCCAACATATAAGATCTTAATCTTACCACTCCAGTGATGTATATTGCCACTTCATCCACCTTTCTGTCTAGATTCATGAGCCCTCCAGATGGAATTGCATCTTATGCCATACTTTAAGCTCATAACTAGTAGCTTCATTAGTGAACTTGAACCCTAATGGGTGATCCAGTTTGGACCACAATCTGTTTATTATACTTATACAGAGCATTGTGATGTCAGCATGGTCCTCAATAATTGTTAATAGGTTGCAGTTGTTGTTTATGTTCAGGGTATTACTTGTTTTGTTCTTATTAATGTTTTGATCCAAGATAACAAATGTAGTCAGTTTGTTCTTAGCATTTCACTAACACTGAACAAAATGTTTGCTATTAATAACTCAATTACTCAGCCCATGAGATGTATCCTTTAATTGCTAAAATAAAAAAATAAAAAACCATTATTTAAATGGCCATAAGTACGGTGAGAACAAGTAATCTTTCAACAAAATTTTGGGCATATGGTATTGCAGCAAGTGTGTATATTTTGAACATAGTTGAACACCTTCAAAAGGTAGAACGCCACAGGTAAGTAGGCTAAAAGTTTTCATGGGCATTGCTTATAGTATTGTACTTTCAAACTATTCCTAAATTATTATGGAATTGTAATTAAAAGATCTCCTCATTGTTGTAGTAGGCTACAGTTGTATCGATCGATTACATGTTGTTTTGCTACATGACACAAAGGATACGTGGCTAACCATTCTAAAATTGACTGGATAGAATTATATTGACAGAGCAAAAAGAGATAAAGACGAAGAGACCCAAGATTCTACCATTGTTTGATTGTTCAAGTTTAGCATTATCAATATTTTGGATGTCGTCAAGGATTACCTATAATCGATAATCGGTTCTCATCTAAACTCAGAATTGAAATCCCTAGTAAAGCAACAAATAAATTTCCTGCATTTTCGGTTGATTTTCTTGCAAGAATAGTGAGAACAAAAACAGACAACTGACCCGTGAGTATGCAACTAAACTATCAAAGAATCAGAGGAATTTCTGGCACCAAAAGAGAAAACTGGGTCGAAGCAATTATGGAATTTTTGGCACAAATATAGGAAAACTCAGTAGAAGCAACTAAGGGAAGGGGATCGGAGGATCTGTCATCTAATAAAATCATCTGAGCGCTCAGGTACATAACACAAATAGAGTACATTCAAAGCAATTGTGCAACTGCAAGGGCTGTTCTTAATAAAAATAAAAAAATTGGAGGAATTTGTTTTAATCAATCAAATATAACTTTTTCTAATTACTTAATATTTATACTATTATTTTTACTTTTATTTCATATAATTTTTAAATTAAAAATAATCATAAAGAAAATTATTACAAAGTTTACTTATACAATTATTATAGAACTAACATCATTTATTATACATAAATTATTATGATAATTTATTTTTATGTTGTTGACAGGAAATAGTGTTTATATATCTTTTTATTTACTTTTTTTTTTCAAAACGTTTTTTTTCAAAGTTTATTTTAAACCATGTATGACGTTCTAAATTTTTTACTTATGATTTTTTACACTTAATATATTTTTTGCAATTTTTTTACAAAACATAAAAAAGTTAAAAGTATTCATAAGTCGTAAAAAAGCTTTACAAAAAAAAGGAAAAAAAAAAAGAAAAAACATTTCTAAGTTGTAGAGTATAGTTAGGGATTCAGATGATCCGGTTTTTTAAAAGTCGGTTTCAGATAAACAAATATATATTTTTTTTTACAAAATGAACAAAACGTTAAAAAGTTAAAAACATTCATAACTTATAAAAAAACTTTACAAAAAACATTCATAATTTGTAAACAAAAAAGTCACATATTCTAATGATCTAGTTTTTTAAAAGTCGGTTTCGGATAAACGAACAAATTCCTAAAAAATTAAGATTAAATAATGTAAATTAACAAAACGTTAATAAGTAAAATAATAATAATAATAAAAATAAACAAACAAAACGTCAGTGAAACATAAATAAAAATTAACGTTAAATATACATAAAACCTGGAAAAAAACACAATGTCTTCTAGATTAAAGAGATTTTGCTGATTTAGAGAACATGAACGATTAAACATGATGTGGAAACTTTGGGTTTTATTTTGTTATGTTATTTTTTTGTCACATTTTATATTAGTTTACAGATGATATCTTATGCAACCGAGATACTCTTACATTGGACAAGGTTTATGTACATTGTGTTCTAAAGAGAAATTAAAACAAAGCCTCAATTATGGAGATCCAAAAGCCCAAAGACCTTAATATAAAGGGAATACCTAATGATAGGGGTTCCAAGAAATCAATCATGGTAGATCAAAGTCTAAGGTAAAAAGAAACTATTGAAACTATTGTCACAATAATGGACATAAAATTAATAAGTTTTATAAACTGCAAAACAAGAACAAAGCCATTGCTAAGGGTAAATACGCTAGTGACTCAAGTGAAGCCAGTGGATTCGAAGGTGGTGATAGTTAGCTTCTAGCCATTCTAAGTAAAGGTACAAGTTCTTCATCAGAAGGGATTCTTGATTTTAGATTTATCCACCATATATGTCCTAATACATAGTGGTTCCCCACATATAAGCCTTATTTTGGCTTCATTCTTTTTTGGAGATGGTGTGGCTTGCAACATTGAAGATGTTGGAAATATTCATATCAAGATGTGTGATGGTATTGCTTGTACTCTTGAGAATGTATAGCATGTCCCAAAGTTGAAAAGAAAATTAATATCCTATTTATAACAATTGAAAGGGTTATAAGTATGTCAACAAAAAGAAACTTAATGTCTTATTTCTCTTAATAGAAAGGGATACAAGTACGTCGCTAAAAGTGGATCAATTACAGTTAGAAAATGATTCCTTGCAATTATGAAGGGTACCCGGAAAGTAGCCAAATTTTTAATTATCTTTTTTGATTTGTCTACTATTATTGGTGATGCCAATGGTGCATCATTTCATATTCGATTTGAGTGTTGATTACTCTTTCAAATAAAGGTGGAGGAAGTCAAGGAGGATAATGATGTTATTTCATGTACACTACTTGTTAATTATCTAAGACATATGTATTATTCGATTCAAGTGTTCATTACTCATTTTTATCTCAAGAATTTCATAAAATTTTCATCATGGCCACTGTAGCTTTAGATGATGCTTATGTAATACAAAACACAAATAGAGAGTTAGCAACTGCACTAAATATACAAAGGTTGTACTTTAGAAATTGATGGAAAAATATTTTATACTAGTTTACACCCATGAGGATTATGAGGATTATGGGAATTATGGGGTTTGATGTAGTTATGGGAATGGGCGGCTTGGATCCAATCAATCTATCATATTATGTGGTTTGTGCCAAAAAGCAAAGAAATATGCAAGTTCTAATCACGACGATCAAGGCTAATAAGTGGCTTATAAAATGGTGTACTTAATGTATAGCTTATGACTTGGATAGTCTAAAAGAAAAGAACAAAATGTAAGGTAGTTTGATATTTCCTAATAACTTGACACCTTTTCCACCTAAAAGGCAAGTGGAATTCCATATTAATCTCTTTCCAAGAGCTAAATCGATTACTTGAGCTCCTTACCAATTTGATCCTATAAAAATACATGATTTAATGTCTCAATTACAAGAACTTCTAGATAATAAATTTAATAGGCCTAGTTATTCACCTTGGGAAGCACTTGTATTGTTGTAAAAAAGAAGGATGGTTTTAGGTGTGCGTACATAGACTATTAGGAATTTAATAAAGTGACTATCAAGAATTGATACACTTTACTGAGGATAGATGATCTATTTGGGTAACTTTATAGAACAGAGAAACTTTCAAAGATTAATTTATGTTCGGTTTATCATCAAGTGTGAGTGAAAGAAAGTGATGTTGAAAAGTTGGCATTTAGAACTTTTTATAGTCATTATGAGTTTCATGTGATGCCTTTTGGTCTCACTAAAACATCATTGTTTTTATGGACTTGATGAATTATGTGTGCATGTCGTTTATTAATAAACCAGTTATTATATTCATAGAGGACATATTTATATATCCCAAAAGTGAAAAAGAGAATGAACAACATTTGAAGGAAGTTTTACAAGTCGTGAAAGAAGAGTAACTCTATGCTAAATTTTCAAAGTGTAAATTTTTTATGTGTGAATTTCAATTCTTAGGACATGTAATCTCTTGTGAAAGAATCACGGTGGACATGTTAAAGATAAAGGTGGTGTTGAAATGGGAGCCTCCTAAGACTCTAACTTAAGTGAAAAGTTTTCTTGCTTTGGTCGACTACAATAAAAGATTTACTCAATATTTCTCTCACATTGTTGTGCCACTTACTTCCTTGACCAATAAAGGAGCGATTTTGTTAGGATAAGAAACAAAAAAGCATTTGTTACCTTAAAATTAAATTTTCCTTTCTTGAAGGAATGAAAGAGTTTGTTTTGTATAGTGATGCATCAAACAAAGGCCTTGGATGCGTTCTTATACAAATAGGAAGGTAATTTTCTATACTTCTAGGCAATTGACAAATGCATCAACAGAAAACAAGACTCATGATTTAGAGCATGTGACTATTGTGTTTGCTTTGAAAATAGGAAGGCGCTACCTTTATAGGATAAATGAAAGATCTACATAGATATCAAAATCTTAAAAAATATGTTTACACAAAAAGGCTTGAAATATGAGGAAAAGGATATGGACTGAACTTATTAGCTATTATGATTGTGAGATAATTTATCATGCTGGAAAAGCTAATATGGTGGTTGATGTTTTAAGATAAAAAAAATGCATAAAATCTAATTAAAGGAAGGTTAATGCAAATTAAATTAGTTTCAAGTCTCACTTAAAGGCTTAAGAATGCAAAAATTAGTTCATTAAAAAATGAAGAGGTGAAGAAAGCAAAATTAGGAAGAAATTTTGGATTTGGTGAAAATAGTCAAAGGTTGAAAATACTCATGGATCGAATTTAAGTTGCTAAGTTTGGGGCAATAATATGTTGATAATTGAAGACTCCCACCAATCAAATTACTATATTCACCCTGCCATTACAAAAACTTAT